GGGACAGAGGGAGTCACATTCTTTCCTGGAGTCACTGTTGGGCTTGAATGGGCCCCCTGACATTAGCTGGCCAGCACTTAACCCGCTACACCACCAGGACTCCTTTTATTGAGTATAGTATTAAGCTAATGTAAAATTACTTAGTCCAATCAATTTTCAAGTGTATTTAGCAAATAGTTTTTAACTTGTAGAGATCTTAATATAAAATACATTCATATCTAACACAAGGAATCAATTAGTCATTGTGCAGTTTATCAAATATTACTCTGTGATAATAATATAATTTATAGTAGATATTGATAATGATTTTGGATAATCTGGTATAGAAGGGAACTGGGGGTATATGAGTTCCTGAGGAACCCTGATGTCATAGTAGTTACAAGTTGACCTGCTATCCGAAAGATCGGTAGTTCAAAACCACCAGCCACTCCATGAGAGAAAGATAGGGCTTTCTACTCCCTTTAATTGTTAGAGTCTTGGAGATTCATAGGGTCAGGTCTACCTTGTCCTACAGGCTTCTTATGAGGCAGCATGGACTCAATGGCAGTGAGGGTTTTTAATTGTTTTGTGAGTTATTACATGGGATGACATCAAACCTAACATAATGATGCCACTGGTTTGAAACCTTTATTTTTTTCTTCCCAAGTAACATCATAGGACTGACTAGCTGAAAGTCTTCATTCTAAACAGTCTTGTAAAAACATTAAAATATGGTATAAAATGTTATTATTAGTTCACTTGTTATAAATATCTGACCTGTACAATCCATAGTTACAAATCAACTCTCTTTTAGTCATATGTCTATCTAATAGTAAATCATATAAATAAAAACACCAACTTTAAGTCCACATTCACAGCTACGAAGCTACACAGATATAATCTCTATGCTCTATGGAAGTTGTTCTCAAAATATGGGCACTGTGAGTATAAGAAAACTAGTTAATTTCCATGGACTTCCTCTTCTTTATCATATTATATCTGGCTTGCCATCCTATGAAATTTAGATAATCCCTGTCAATCAAAATTCCAAAATTTTATTCACATGTATTTCTTCTTCAAAATTGCAAATGCTTATATATTGGGTAGGTGTCTATCTTTCCTATTTCTTTGCAATTTTCTGAAGCAAATTATTTTGTCGTTTGGACTTAACAGATCTGCACTCACGCTACAGATCAAATGTAGACAAAAGGCCATTGATGGATGCTGGCTGGCTGCTCCTAATGAGTCTTCATTATGAAGTGAAATCATGTAGGATATTGCAACTTTCCCTACTTTTGATGACGGAAAACACTGACGCACTTGGCATATTCTGGTGATTCTATTTATATTCCTAGTCCTAAAAGGTCATATATGAAATATTGTGAGAAGCTATAGAAGAGGATGAAAATATAACCCAGTCATATAAATACACATGATTCAAGCTTCTGGTCACTATCTTTATGTTATTGATAAATTCAATGAGTAAAAAAAATAGCATTTTAATATTATTAATGCAAAAATAAATCAGAATGGTTGAGTACTCAAGTGCTCCAGACTCTCGGTCCGGGTATACATTCTTAGCATGGGTTTAATGTCCTCACTCCATGATATTCCCAAGTGGGAAATCTGACACCTGCATTGCCTTCAGAGAAGCAACTAAAATATGGTCTATAATCAAATTATTAATTAGGATAACATCCCAAACTAATCTCATACCATGGAGTGGATCCCAAATCCTAGTACCTATGTTGGAGAGAGTGGAACTGCTGTGTAGGGTTTTCACATCTGTAAATAGTCACCAGTGCAGACGGTCTCAGTTTTCTCCTGCAGAACAGCTGGTGGATCCAACTGCTGCTTATTTTGCACTTAGCAACCCAATCCTAAACCCATTATGTTTCACGACTGAAACAAAGCATAAGGTCATTTGAGGGGGCTCTTTAACATTAACTGAGTAGAAGCAACATACTTCCTGACTTCTAAAGACAGTGGAAACCCTTCATAAAAGTTCAAATTTGAGTAGACATGTTATATATTTCTTCCCATCCACTGTGAAGGTTATCACGTGTGCCAATTGACTCACTGGACAGAACCCTCTAAGAAGGTTACAGTTCAAATTCACAATATTTTCTCTAGGCCGGGTGGAAAGTGGGGCTCTGGGGAAATGAGCTTGCTGAGCAAAAGCTATGAAAATCAACTGGATATGGTGAATAAAGTGATATGCATGGCCGCATTTTTTTCTATCCAGCTGAGAACCCAGGTCTTGGTTTACATTGAATGATAACTCACAGAAGCATCATCCTGCTTTGCTGCACCAAGCCGTTAGCACAGCCACAGTCACCACTTGTTCTTAAAGGATACATAATCAATGTTTGTTTGTAATTTATTTGTTAAAATATCACTAGCCTTATCTCAAGAGACTGATTTCTAAAATAACAAACATAAGCACAAAACATACTTTCCTCCTCACATGCAATCAGATCAGGTCTTCCCAATGAAGACTCTCCAAGCGTGGTCAAGCGCAGGGATGATGGCTATTGTTGCGGTGGTTGCATTTGTTTGGGTTCTTTGGGTCATCACTAGAGTTTCAAAATCTCAGCACAGATGTGTTCTGGGAAATGTAAATGATATTTTAAATCTGTACTTGGATCAGTTTCCCACTGAAAAGGGACAGCATTTTTTAAAGGCAATATGTTTTAATAGTAATTCATGTATTTCCAGGCATTCTCCAGGCTCCAAACATCTGACATGCAGACGAATCCTACTTCCTATTTAATGTGATATAACTTTGCCCACACCTTGAAATGGGTAACTCGGTCAGCTACTACTCTTCCTCATAATCAGTTTCACATGTGGCATGTGCAGCTTTTCTAGCTCCATAAAAGCTTTAAGCCTCTTCTTGACCTAAATCGAGCATAAATAAGTAACACATGTATATATTCTGACTTAGCTACCCATTTTTAAAGACATAGAAATAGATCTCCATCACAATCCAGGGCTGCCTGTGGGAAAGAGCTTCAAAGAGTTCGTGGACAAAAGTTCACATTAGACTTGAAGTAACTAATGGTCCTCGGTGGCAGCTTTAAATAACACGAAGGACATTTTTTATCTAATTAGAACTGCCTGTGTCCCAAGAAACAGAAATAAACTGGGGCTGATTTCAGCCAACTTTGACTAAGAAATTTTAGGCGTGACTTTTTGCAAATTCACTCTGCTCCTTGTATGCTATGTGAGAGTTGGGTAGGTTATATGAGAGATTCTAGAAAGATGGAGAAAGTCGAGAAGGCTAATATAATTTTAAATTTTTGGTGAGATTTCCCAAATAAATCAAATGATGCTATTTATTGGACAGATGTGTGGCAGAAGGCCCCTTGGAAGTATTAAACAACGATGGCACTTTGAGGACTAAGCTGCACTTGAGCCATGCCGTGGTAAGTCCAGTCTCCCCATGTGCCTGGGAAAGCTCAACAATGAATAAAGAAGACCAAAAGAACACTGTTGTATTTGAGTTGTGGTGAGGCTAACTATACCAAGGACTTCCAGAAGAATAAGCTACTCTGCTTTGGTAGATGTACAACCTGTATGCTCCTTAGAAATGACGTTGGCAAGACATCTGCTCACCTACTTTGGGAATGTTATACTGAGGGACCAATTCTTGGATAAAGACTTCCTGTTTGATAAAGTAGAAGGTCAGTAAAAACAAAAGACCTTTGCTAAACTAGATGGATACAATGGCTGAACATAGTAAGAGTGATGAAGGTGGCTCAGGTCTGGGTAATGCTCTGTTCTGCTATATGTAAGGTCAACCCCAAGGTGTTTTACTACGAGTACATTGAACAATGCTTAAAAGTAAAACCACAATGCCAAAATTTACATTGAATTTCCAAATTCATAGTCAATACATTTAAGTTGAACCATTAGAGCAATAGGGGTAATCCAGTTTATAAAGACTAACAAAAAATGATACCAGAAATTAAAAGTGGGGATCCTTTTTTCTGATGTGAGAAAACTGTCTTTGATTATTTTTTTTTAAATTTGGCATAATGTCTTTTTTTTCTCAATTAAGATAGAGTAAACCTCAAGTGTAATTAAAATGGTAGTTAGAATGCATTTTGGGGGGAAATGATCAGTTTTCTGTTAATTAATATGAATATGAACTTGTTCATATGGAACATTCATTATTATTATTTTATTGAAATTTAAAATTAAATGAAAAGCAAATAGCAACTTAATTTGTAGAACATCCAGTAGAACCAATATCTAATAGTGCATTCTTTGGAATGCAAAATACATCCTCATATAATAAACTTCAAAACTTACAAATTGGAATTAATCATATTACACTGTTGCTTAGATCAAGAGAATGGCCACCGTGAGAGAATTACTAAGATGTCGCAGAGCATCATAGCACTCAGGAAGCCAGGAGAAAGTACGTAGGCATAGCGGAGCCCTGGCAGCATAGAGGATTGGCTATACATTGGGTTGTTAACGGCAAGGTCAACAATTCAAATCCACCAGCTGCTTAACATCAGGTCTAGGAAACCTGCCGGGGTAGTTCTACTCTTTCATATAGGGTTGTTATGAGTCAGGTTTTAATCAATAGCGATGAATTTTGTTTGTTTTTGCTGTAGGAAGAGTTATTAACTTTGTAAAGAAATGGCAGGGCACTATTCCAGATAGTCTAGAGCGCTCTTCGCTTCTATTAAAGAAAACCTTTCCAGAGAGATACTACAATTTCTATTCTTACTTGAATCCTTACTTCTTCCTCATTTTGTTATAAACGATTTTCTTAAATTTGGACTATGAGTCTCTACAACTTGAGAAAAATATTTTAGTCATAAACCACGGCTAATATTTCTTTTCAGAGATAAGAACACATGGAAGACAACTGAGAAACATTGCCTGGTTCATAGTGAACTGCCCTGATAGAGGGCAGAAAGATTCCCTCACCTGGAGATAAAGCAGTCAACAATCAGTGGGCTGTGGTATACCAACCACAAAATAATGTATTTATTTTTCAACGTTTTTCCTTTTATTGATAAAAACTACACAAAAGCTAATTGATAATTATTTTTTAAAAGGAATGTTACACATCATATTGAGAAATGTGTCAGTTTGGCAGTTTCACTTGTTGGTCACATGGCTCTTGTTCCCCTAGTCCCCCTCGGTCCACGTGGGGATAACCTCCTGGTCTTCTCCATCCATGACTTCCCAAGAGTCCCCTTTGGACCCCGACACACGGATCTGAGGGGCAGTCAAAGCGAAAGGATCACCACCCCTCCCATCATGGGCAGTGTGTGTGGCCAAGCAATATCCACCCAGTGTTGGCTGATTTTTCCTTCCAGTTGTTTGGGCAAATGCTGCAGTCAACATTCTTCTTTATTTCCTGATAAAGCAGATCTTCTTTTGGCATAACATAAGCTTTAATGCCCATGTGCAGAATTACAGTAGCACTTGACCAGGAGGAAAAAAAATCAAATAAACGTAATCAGAGCAAGTAGCGTTGCTTTAAAGGAACAGAAAGAAAAAGAGGAGCAGAAAACAATTGAAACAAAGTCTGTGAGAATTACACATACCTAACAAGAGAAACTGTAGTGTTTCCCTTCCCCACCCCGCCCCACTGGTCCCACCCCCCTTGTGGTTCTTCAGCCCAGGAACCATGCAGTGTAGAAAAATCAAATATACAAACAAACCTATATGTGGCGAGGGTGAAGCCTATTTTTATAAGAACTTGGCACGTTTTACTATGTACACCCAGGAGTATTTTGTGTCTGCTTGTTTTGTTTTAAAGCAGGGAAAGTTCTGTAGTTCTCCTGGTATCACTGCAGGGGCATCCACTGCCCTCTCTTTGCAGTTTTCCTGATTGCTGTTTCCTTTAGCTCATTCGTGTTTTGATAGGTACGATGAGCTTGCTTGTTTGCGCGAGTTGAGACATTTCTCCTTTAAGATGAAGACCCTCCCTCCCCCCCATCGAGTTCCCCAATGTGGAGTTGGCTTCCTTTTAGTTTGTTATTCTCTCAAGGTAAATGGTGGGCGCTGCCGACCTGGCGATGGTGGCTATGACGCTGTGGTCGCGCCCGAGCTCCAGGTTGGGGCTCTCTTCCTGCGCCGGAGAAATGGTCTCATAGCCCTGGGTGACGTGGAGGGGCTGGTGAGCCTGGCAGTACCCCATCACGGGCGGGTCGTAGCTGTAATACGGCAAGGGCTTCACGTGGTGTGGGATCTGGACAGAAATGAGAAAGACTGATTACACAAGGGTTTTAAAAGGGGACGGCCATACAGCTAATCAGATTGCATTTTTGTTTGATTCCATTTTGATTTTAAGTCATCAGCTACTAATTCAACTTTTATTCATGAAAAGACTAACAAAACAATGACTTCAGACTGGACTGAAAAATACCACCTTGTTTGTTTTTTCCACGAGCATATCTTGCTCAAGGCTCAGATACATTTTTTTTTCACTTCTCTTCATTGCTCATCACTATAGTAGGAAATTAGAAATACTCTAAATGTCCAACAGAGAATTTAAAAATAAATATGTACACCAAACATTTGAAGACCATAAAGATACTAGAAAGATTGAGGAGAATCTTTTTTATTTCTTTTTCTAATACTGTAAAATAGGATACCCCACTACTATCAAGTTGATTTTGACTTGGTAGGGACAGAGCAGGAGCTCTGGTGGCCTAGTGATTACTCATGGGATGCCAACTACCCTGTTTCCCCGAAAGTAAGACATCCCCTGACAATAAGAGCTACTTACAGTTTTGCCTCTCGCTGAAATATAAGGCACCCCCCGAAAATAAGACTTCCCCGAAAATAAGCCCCGCCCAGCTACCATAACTCTGGACTCTGGACCATGGCGGCTGGCACCGCTGCACAGTTCATTGTTGGCCGCAGGGCAGCCGGAGCAGACAGGAAGTGTGAGGTCTCTTTTAATAAAACAATAAATAATAAATGTGTACCGTATTCTTCTTCATAGAAAAATAAGACATCCCCTGGAAATAAGACCTAGCGCATCTTTGGGAGCAAAAATTATTATAAGACACTGTCTTATTTTCAGAGAAACAGGGTCAGAATTACGAAACTACCAGATGCTCTATGGGAGAAAGACAGGGTTTTCTAATATCTGAAACAGTTACCATCTCAGAAATTCACAAGTGCAGATCTAACCTGTCCTATAGGATCACTGTGAGTCAGCATTGACTAAAGGGCAGTGAGTGAGATGGGGGCAGAGCAGGGAATGTGCCTGATAAGGGAAGAGAGGACTTTGAGGCCATACCTGGACACTCATAATCAACATTCTAACACAGAACTATAGCCTGAGTTACTCCTAATAGGTAATAGTCAGGGGGCCAAGGAGAAAGCAACAAGACCATCTACACAATCCCAATAAAACCAAGAAGCGTCTTTCTTAACTCATGCGAGGGATCCACTTCATTTTTGAAGTGTATCTTGCTATGGTTAAATAAACTTTTGCTTAGCTCTTTGGTGTGTGTGATGGTGTGTGTATGTGTGTGATGGTGTGTGTGTGTGTGTGTGTGTGTGTGTGTGTGTGTGTGTTTCCCTGTCGCCTGACAATCTGCTCTGAAGGGAATTGCTGGTATGGGCAGAGGGAGACTAACCAGGTGCAAGCAGTAGGCTTTAGATGAACAGACTCCAAGCCACACTATACGGTCCCTCTCCCTCAAGTTGTAAGTCTTTATTGGAGTAGATAGCCTCATCTTCGTCCTATGTAGAGGCTGGTGGGTTTGAACCACTTGCAGTTAGCAATCCAATGCTTGATACATAGGTAAAGGGGAAAAAAAACATTGCTGGAGAATATATGATATCCATTTTGTGTTAATAAAGTTTATATAAATATTGTTTTTATTTACATATAATGGGATTTTTATTATGGACATAGATCACAAAACTCAAAAGTTATTAATCATCCTTTACATGTTATTTTGAATAATATATTTTATGGATTATTTTGAATAATTTATTGTTCATCAATTCTGAACCATGAACTCTAGAACAATGACAGTTTGCATGTGTGTCTGTGTTCATAATTTGTGATGTTGTTACTTGATTTGGGCCCACAGGTCAAACATACTCTTAATGTCAGTAGAATATTGGAATGATGACCCACACAAAGACCTTCCATAGCAAAATTTGAACATATTAAAGTCATGCTAATTTTCTGGGGTTTTTTTTGCAAATGTATATTAAACCACCAATTCTTAATAAAGGAAACTGGATAGCAAACTTAGAAAAGGAAATGAAGCTTGTTTAATTGCTTGATGCCAGCAGAACATTTTCTCATCATCTGCTACAGCGTCTGAATTCACAATCCACAGGGATAATAATGCTAATGCTTTCATTTTCTCTAGGGGTAGAAGTAGGAGCCCCGGTGGCAGAGTGAGTTGCACATATCAACATATGGACATTGAGAAGGCCGGAAATGGTGGAACTTTTTGAAGCACTCTCTCTCCCCTCTGATCCTACTTAGTCCACAGTTAGCATTACTATGTGTGGTGATGTTGGGCTGGAGGCCTTGTAGACTACGTATCTGTGTTAACTTCTGCAATCTATTAAATTTTGTCAGTGGGCATCACTACCAGGGAGCAGAAGGCTGAAAAAGGTGGAGTCCTGTTTCCTGCATGCTGTGGGCTGTCCCTCAGTTCTTATCAGCTCCAAGGATTTATCCCAACAACGTTCCCTCACCCTGGTGTTCTCAGTCCCCTCTTGTTCCATCAAATGATTCTCATTTGTAATTTTTTCCAAGATTAACAGAACCAATCCTACTAGAGACACCATTACTGGTTAGTAGACGTCCCTCCCTGAGATAACTGATGTCCAATTCCACAAAATTCTTCCTCCAAGCTTTTTAGTTGTTTTTTTTTTAATTAATCATTTTATTGGGTCTCATACAATTCATCACAATCCATACATACATCAATTGTGTAAAGCACACTTATACATTTGTTGCCCACCTCATTCTCAAAATTCGCTTTCTGTTTGGGTTCCTAGAATTAGCTCCTCATTTTCCTTTTTCCCCTCCTTCTCCCTCCCCACTCCCCCCTCCCTCGTGGACCCTTAATAATTTATAAATTATTATTATATCTCATCTTACACTGCCCTGTGTCTCTCTTTGCCCACCCTTCTGTTGTCCATCCCCCAGAGAGGAGGTTATATGTAGATCCTTGTGATTGATTCCCCCTTTCTACCCCTCCTTCCCTCCCGGTATTGCCACTGTCACCACTGGTCCTGAGGGGATCATCTGTCCTAGATTCCCTGTGTTTCCAGTTCCCATCTGTACCGCTGTGCATCCTCTGGTCTAATCAGGTTTGCAAGATAGAATTGGAATCATGATAGTTGGGGAGAGGAAGCATTTAAGAACTAGAGGAAGGTTGTGGGTTTCATTATTGCTATACTGAACCCTGAGTGACTCATCTCCTCCCCACTACCCCTCTGCAAGGGATGTCCAGTTGTCAACAGATGGGCATTGGGTCCCCATCACGCGCTACCCTCATTCACGATGATATGATTTCCCCCACCCCCCTGCCTTTGGTGCTTGAAGCCTGGTCCCTTCGGCCCTTCATGATCACACATGTTGGTGTGCTGCTTCCATGTGGGCTTTGTTGCTTCTGGGCTAGATGGCCGCTTGTTTACTTTTCTGTTGTGGGTTACATATGGAACTGTTCCCCACAAAGTCAGTGGTTAAAACCCACCAGTTGGCCAAGAAAGACGTTTCTGCTCCCATAGCGATCTGAAGTATCAGACACATGATGAGTCAGCTCCGTTCTGTTATGTGGAGTTAGAATGGGTTGGAAATGACTCCATAGGAATGGATTTTCTCTTGTTCCCTTAGTCTTCCAGGTGGTAGTATGGTGACTACTTCCTGAAACAGTTGTCACTGTGATACCATGGGCCTCATGTTTAGTCTTTAAATCACTAGGCTGATGTCTATATGTATATCTTAAAGCCAAATTCCTTGTCATCAAGTAGATTTTTAACTCATTGTGAAAATACAGGACAGGGTAGAACTGTTCTTGTGCAGTTTTTCTAACTGTAACTCTTTAGAGGAGTAGAAAGCTTCATCTTTCTTCTGCAAAACAGCTGACGGTTTCCAACTGCTGACCACTAGGGCTCCTAGCATGTCTTTGTCATGAATCAGTGTGTGTGTGTGTGTGTGTGTGTGTGTGTGTGTGTGTGAGTGAGTGTGTGTGAGTGAGTGAGTGTGTCTGTGTGTGTGTATGAGTGAGTGTTTGTGTGTCTGTGTGTGTGTATGACTGAGTGTGTGTGTGAGTGTTTGTGTGTGTCTGTGAGTGTTTGTGTGTGTCTGTGTGTGTGTATGAGTGAGTGTGTGTGAGTGTGTGTGAGTGTGTGTGTGAGTGTGTGAATGTGTGTGTGTGAGTGAGTGTGTGTGTGCGTGAGTGAGAGAGAGAGATTTCCTGCCATCAAGTCAATTTCAAGTCACAGCAACCCTGTAGGACAGGGTAGAACTGCCCCTGAGTTTCTCGACTATAATTTTTTACTGAAATAGAAAGTTGTATCTTTCAACCAAAGCCTCATGTTCATCTAGTTAATTTTGACTCATAGAAACCTTATAAATATAGGAATGATGAGGTTTTGTAAATATTTTTGGGGTCAGACACCTTTATTTCTCTGTAGAAGAGTGTATAGTGGTTTGAACTGCTAGCTTTGCAGTTAGCAGTCTCACATTTACCTTAATTATACATTACAAACAAGATATAATTAAGAGATATATAATTTTCTTGATGAACACATTGACTTCTAATGAAAATCAATACTATATTTTCAGTCAAGCTTTTAGAAAGAGTAATTTATCATCAAAGAGCTACTATTCAACTTTGAACACATATTTCTATTCAAAAAATTAAAAAATATATATGTTATATACTAGACAAAGTATTATTGATAAACAGATATTTTTGATATTATACACTAAGTTTTCTGTCTGACAGTGACAGCAAGGAATGTACTGTGAAACAAAGTAGCCAAATTACTAACTACTCACTAGGAAATTAATGTCTCCTTGCCATTAAGGTCATTGTGGCTCATAGTGACCTTACAGGACACGTTGGAACTACCTTTGTGGGATTCTGAGCCCGTAACCCTTTACTGGAGTAGGGAGCCTCCTCTTGTTCTTGCTGAAGATCACCCAACAACTCTCGCAGCAGTAAATTGACAAGGAGCTGCCAGAAAATCAAGTCG